GGGGGGATGTGGGTTGCCAAAGAGTGTCCCTATGGAGACATCCATGTGATGGGGATCACTATATATACAGCCCCCCCGTTATAACAGGACCCTCTGTGTGATGAGAACACCTATGGAATGAGGGGCACCTATAGAATGGTAATGGGATGGGGTCCCTGATGGGGGATCTGAACTGCAGTATAACAGGGGAGGTGGGCTCCTCTATATTGTCCCTATGGAGGCCTCCATGGGATGGGGATCACCATATACAGTGATAACAGGACCCCCTGTGTGGTGGGGGCACCTATAGCACTTACAGAATGGTAATGGGATGTAATGGGGGGTATAATGGGATATAGTGGGGGATGTAATGGGATATAACAGCGGATTGGGGCCCCAGTGTAATGGGGGGAGGTGGGCTTCTGTATAGTGTGGCTATGGAGACCTTCTTGGGATAGGGATCACTATATACAGCCCCCCATGTTATAACAGGACCCCCTGTGCAATGGGGGCACCTATAGAATGGGGGGCACCTGTAGAATGGAGAACCCCCATATGTAATGGGATGGGGTCCCTGTGTATAATGGGGATCTCTGTATAAAAATGGGGGGCCTGTATAATAGGAGGATGAGGACCCCCTATGCAGTGGGAGCTCCTTTATAGTGGGGGCAGTGGGACCCCCTCCTGTGACAGGGGATGGGGACACCTCATACAGTGAGGACCCCTATAAAATGGGGGGGGGGATGAGGATCCCCTCTGCAGTGGGGGCTCCCATATAAGAAAGGATGGGAAACCCCTCTATAATGGGTATCCTGAGAACCTCCCTGTAACAGGGACCCCCTAAAATGGGGAAGCAGGGCCCCCTGTACCCTTGGGACTCCCCTTGGGAAGGGGAGTGCCCGTGTCATGGCATCCCCGTGTATCTGAGGGTGATAGGGGCAATGTGGCCCTTTGGCAGGTCATGGATGCTGGATCAAGGCTTTGGGAACACCAGGACAGGGATGTGCTCACGGGGTTTCTCTCACAGGTTGGGCACGAGCCACTACCTCCAACTGTTGGAAGAAATGTGCTGGGAAGGAAAGTCCTGTACCTGCCTGGCTTCTTCACCTACGGTGAGTGAAGGTCCCCTCCTGCCAACACTGCTTCAAAACAACCCTGCAATAACCTGTCCCCCCTGCCCTGCTCATTGCTGTTGTAGATGGAGCCCTAAGGGGACAGAAAGACCAAGAAAAGAGAAGGTAATATGTTCAGAAGAAACAAAAAAGTAGTATTTTGCTCTCTTTGGGAGAAGTGGGTGAATATTTTGTGACCTGCAGTCACAGCAGTTTTGCTGTGGGGAAGGGGAATGCCCAGTCCTGAAAGCTGAGTTGGGCCAATCCCAAAATCTCTCAGCAGCACCCATGGGTTGGGAACCAGCACAGGAGCAAGGCAAGAGCACTGGAAACCCATCCTGAGACACCCAGGGCTGGAAACACTGTGATACTGCCCTTTGGAAGATGCATTTCCCAAACAGATGGACAGTGTTGGGTGATGGAGGGGGCAGAGCCCTCCTGGCTTCACTTGGACAGCACCAGTTGGGGAGCAGGAGCAGTCAGTACCCAGCAGCACACAGTGGGTTGTCTCCCACCTTGTTCTATCAGGGAGAAATTGGATCTGTTGGCTTTTTTTTGTGACTGGAGACCTGAGGAAGTTTACCTGGGAGGAGGAGGTGGGGCAGGAACTAAACATGGGTTTGTGAGATCCACATTAACCCTGAACCTGACTCCTGGGGGTGGAGGGAGAAGGTGACACCACACAGCACGTGGGATGATCCCTGGTGGCACCACGTGGGATGATCCCTCCCGACCCTGGTTCAGTCCAAACTTGCCTTGTAGCCCTTTCAGGTGAGCAAAACCATCACAAGATGAGAAGGAGCCCAAAATACTGGAGCTTTCCTTCCAGGTTAGACAGATGGCAGGGAATAAGAATTCTTGGCATCCTGTATGAAGCTTATTTAGAACTGTTACATTAATAAATCACTTATGGTGGGACTGGTGTGGTTTTGGCTGAGTGCTGGAGGTGTTTGGGGTGTCTCTCCATGAGCTGACCCCTCCCTGACTGACAGCAGCCTGGTGTTTACTCACCCAGCCAGACACATCGTGGAAGTGGATGGGAAAAGAGGCCTCTTCCGTGGTCTGACTCCTCGCCTCATCTCAAGCACTTTATCAACCATCACCAGGGGGAGTGTGAAGAAGGTAAAGGTCGGATTCTCTCTCCATTAATCACCTTGCTGGGTCAGTCAGTGCTACTGCAGCAGAGCTGGGAGCCTGCAAGTGCCTGCAGCCAGCCAGGACTGCACGTGGAGGACCAATGCACCCATCCCTCTCCATGTCCTAAGGGCTTGGAATAATCCTCCAGAACCCATATCCCCAGAACTTTTTTCTTTTAAATTAATTTAATATGAAAAATTCCCTTGCCTTTTAGCTTTTGTCAGCAGTTTCATGACCCCTCTCTTCTTCTGTTTTACTTTCCATCCTTCCTTCTCCTGTATTCCTTCTTACCTTTTTGTCTTCTCCTCACACCTAGAGTACAGCTGTTCGTGGTTTCCCTCTGTCCTCAGACACTGAGGGTTTGTGGGGCAGAATCTCCATCGGTTTTGACCATGTTTCTTCCTTCTCCACTCAGGCTTTTCCACTGGAAGACATGGAGCACGTGTCTAACAAGGATGATGTGAAAACTTCCCTTAGGAAAGTGGTGAGAGAGGTGAGAAGTGGATATTGCATGTTAATGAGTGACGGGGAGATCCCACTGGGGATGTGGAGAGCAAAGGAAGCTTAAGCCATTGTCTGTGGGTGAGATTTCTTGGAGGGAAACTCAGGCTGAGAAGTCCATGGTGTTCAGCAGCCATTCTGTGTCCAGCCATGAAATACTTCATAGCAATAGAGGTTGGCCACGAAGAACAGATTTCAAGAGGGACCCAAAATGGGTTTCCCCACATTAAGGGAAAGGGCCTGATCTGTGCAGGTGGAGCAGCACAGCTTTTCACACAGGTGTGTTTGTTCTCCCCAGACATCCCACGAGATGATGATGCAGTGTGTGTCCCGGGTTGTCTCACATCCGCTGCATGGTGAGTCCTGTCCCTCCTCCTGGCAGCCCCCTCCAGGCTGAGGATCACCCCAAAACCCTCTTTACTCACACTCCTCTGTCATACAAGGCTGATGCCTGGGTTGGCATCAGGGACTAAGCCAGCCCAGTGATGAGCTGCTCTCTTCCCATTCATCCAAGAGCTTGTCCCAGAGATCCCATTGGGGTTAGGGCCAGTAGCAGCCTTCTAGTACCTAAAGGGGCTCCAAGAGAGCTGGGGGGAGACTTTAACAAGGGCCTGGAGTGACAAAACAAGGGGGAATGGCTTCAAACTGCCAGAGGGCAGGGCTAGATGGGATATTGGAAAGAAATCCTTCCCTGTGAGGGTGGTGAGACCCTGGCACAGGTTGCCCAGAGAAGCTGTGGCTGCCCCATCCCTGGAAGTGTCCAAGGCCGGGTTGGACAAGGCTCGGAGCAACCTGGGCTAGTGGAAGGTGTCCCTGCCTGTGGCAAGAGGTTTGGAAAAAGATCATCTATGAGGTTCCTTCCAGCCCAAACCTCTCTGTGATTCTACAAAATCCTTCCCACCACTTACAGGCTCAGCAAAGGCACCCGTTTCTAATGAGTCTTGCAGTGATGAGGAGCACTGAGAGGAGCTGGACGTGCTGTGAGTTGAGGGAAGGGAGAGCAGGAGGGTCAGGCTGAATTTTCCTTCACATCCATTGCAAGCCAAACTGGATTTGTTTCTTTACTAGCCCTGTGTTTCTTTCCTCCCAGTGATCTCCATGCGCTGCATGGTCCAGTTTGTGGGCCGGGAAGTCAAATACAGGTGAGTGGCTGCACCTCTGGAGGGTCTGGGGGTCAGGGGTGCCAGGTGCTCCCATGCCATGAGAAATACAGCAACCCAGGAGGTTTGGGAGAGCAGAAAATGAATCTGAGCTGTGGTTAGAGGGTGGGTGACTTGCAGGGTGAGGGGACATGGGAAGGCTGGGTCTGTCACACCTCTCACACAGCGATTCTCCTGCCTTTTTGCTTTATGTGTTAATGGAAAGGGAAGGCAGCAGGGAGGCAGAGGAGATAATACAAAGCATTGCAGGATTTTTCCAAGTCTTTTCTAGCAATACCTGGCCCTCTGCAGCCACATGGAAGTGTGCTAGACAGGATTGCAGCTAACCCACGACAGCCAGTGTGAGTTCCCAAAGGCAGGACAGGGTCCTTGGGCTGATCAAACCGTGTCATGTGCTGTGGTTGTGGCACTTGTGTCCACTCACACAAAGCCACGCAGAGCTCTTGTACCTTCAGCATTAAACAGTTGTCTGCAGGGTGAGTGTTGTCCTGGGTGTTATTGGAGACTGGGAGAGTGCAGACACGACCTTCCTTCCCTCAAGCCTTCCTGGTTTGAGGAGAACAAGCTGCCTTCTGCTGGAATGATGGCTGGGGAGACACTGCTATGGCTGGGGGCTGCATGTGAAGCTGCACAGGGCAGGGATGGAACAACCCCTGCATGCTCACAGCTCTTTTCCTTTCTTGGCAGTGGTGTGTTCAGTGCCATTGGCAGGATATTTAAGGAAGAAGGGATCCTGGGATTCTTTGTGTACGTGAGTTGTTTAAATATTTTCTCCCACAGTCCAAAGACACCGATGGCTCTCCTGGCTGCTCTGCCAACCTCAGCCAGAGCCACACTGAGCTGAAACCTTGTCTGACCAAGGGACTCTCACATCACCCCCCTGAGCACAGATTAAATCTGTGCCTTTGACAGGGCTCCAGTTTGGCCATTAAGTTTGCCCCAGATCTTATCTTCAATCAAGCCTTCAGAACCCAGAGGAAACTCTGTATTTTTTTTTATCTTTCTTTTTCCCTTAACCCTTCTTTGTGTTTCAGTGAACCATTTAGAGCATTTGTTTGTGCAACAGGCACCAAGATCAAGTGCAACAATAAGATCCCTTGTTGAAATGAAAGCCAGGGCCTGGATAAGCAACACATTGCTCTGCAGGGCACAGTGGGTGCTTGTAATGAGCTGATGGCAGCAGGTTTACCTGTGTGGTGGGAGTGTGAGGCTGCCTTGGCTCAGCAGCGTTCCTGCCTGGACCAGGAGGAGCTGAAAGATGCTTCCAGCTGCTTCCAGGAAGGTGGCAAATTGGTGGCATCACTGAAATGGAAGTTTAGTGGACACCTTTTTGCTTGAAGCCTTAATTAATGCTTCCTGCCTTTCTTTTTCACATCTACACAAAAGAAGAACTACCTGCTGTCTCTGCTTGTGGTGGGGAGATAACTCACTGTATTATGTCAATAATATTAAAGGCAGCTCTGAAATTTCAGGAGGGGTTTTCAGGATGCCTTTGGCTCTGCAATGACAAAATGTGGGCCTCCAGCTGAAACCTGAATGCATCAGGAAGAGGGAAGCAATCACAGGGGTCTCATGAGGAAAGGGCTGGGGGTCTGCAGAGCTCCCATCAATTGAGTGTCACTGCATCTTCTCAGCTAAGCTGTGCAGCTCCACATCTCCTCCATTAAATCCAGGTTCCTCTGGGATAGTCCCAGAGTGTGGGGTTTGGTTGGAGCAGGCTGCCCACAACCCTCCACCTCCCAAGGAAGTGATATGAAAGCAGCCGCCACATTCCCTTCCATCCACATAAAATAAACACTCCTGGTCGCCTAATTAAACTTAATAGTTCACAGGAAAGGCTTTAACACAACCCAAATTGTCTCAGGAGGGCTCTGAAGTTCTACATGCTCTATAACCCTGTTAGGAAATCCCACTGCTGTGAGGGCAACACAAACTGCATCTGAAGGACCAAACTGCTGAGTTTCTCCTCTGAGCCCTCCTGGTGCAATCCCAGCGCATCCACTCCCTTAAAATCATCACAGTGCACTTGTTTCTTGTGGTCTTACAACCCCTACACAGCAATAATAGCAGCACACACTCTCTGAACGAGTGCCTGGCTAGAGATAAGTCCACACCCTTCTCCTCCTATCTGCAGCAGGCTCCTGCCAGGCCAGAAAGATGTTCCCTGAGCTCTGAAACTGCTGTGCATGGTCAGCTCAAAGTGGTTTGTCCTTTGCACTGGGGTTTCCTCCCCCTGGGTCACATCACTGTACATCATTCAGGCTTCCTCATCTGCCTGTTGCTGTTCCAGCTTTTCATCATCTTCCAAAAATATTCCTAGTCCAGATGCTGGACATCTCACCAGGTGTGAGAACTGTACTACTCACTTTATTATGGCAATAATAGTGAAGGCAGCTCTGAAGTTTCAGGAGGGGTTTTCAGGCCTGATGCCTTTGGCTTGTTGGGTTTGTTTAGTCCCTTTCTGCAGCTCTCTCCCTGGTCTCTAGCATCCCATAAGCTCAGGGCCATCATCTGTCATTATTTTGGAGAGGAGAAAAAGATGAGATCCCTATTGCAAGTGGAACAAACAATCCAATTCTCTATCAACATAGCAGTGAGGTTTTCCTTATGTGGCTCCTCTGGCCCAGCTTTCTGTTTCTGGACTTTATTAAACCCCCATCGTATCTGCAGCAGCTCGGGCTTCAGACCTGAATCTTGAGTTAGAGAAAGGATGTTTTTTACAAAGGCTGAAAGCCAAACACAAAGCAGACCATCTCTTTGGGACCAGAGAGCTTTGATTTCTTTGTCCTGTCTGCTGCTCTCATGTCTCACATCTTTTAAGCCAGCGGATCTTCTGTTGAAGATTTCTGCTGTGCTTGGTCCCTGAGACCTCAGCTGCATCCCCAGAGCTGCCAGGGCCTTGAAAATACAGAGGTTGTCTACAGAAAGTGCCAGCACAGCACGCTGGATCAGAGTCCCAATTGCTGCTCTGCTGCTGCAGCAATCACAGCAGGAAACAAAACTGGTCCCCTGCTCCAAGAGGCAGCGTGTTTGGGAAGAAATGAATAAATCAGTGCTTGGAGTTGGCTCTTTCCAGCCCAGCAAATGCTCGTGTGGCTCTCAACAGGCTCATTTTCAGAAGAACTGACCACATCTGCTGGTGAAACACAAGTTTTAACACACACCTGGATCCTTTTGTGGTGGAACAAGCCCTGCAAAAGCAGGAGATCCTGTGCTCGATGGCTGCACTGGTGGAACAGATGCTGCCAAAGCACCAACAAACTGGAGAAACCCTTTGGAATGTTTTGTTAATGTTTTTAGTGCCATTATCTGCAGAGCTTGGGGGTGCTGGCGCTGCTGGGAGCTCTGGTGTGTTGGTGGGAGGCATAAACCAAAGAACTGTTCTCCTGGGAGCAGCAGGGACTGGGAAAAATCAGAAGGACACAAGTGCTGCCCCCAGTTAATCCCACTTTTCAATGGAGTGGGTTGTGCAGGAACAATCCCTGTCATTTTGATTTCTAAAAGAAGGGGGATTCCACAATGAGATGAACTTCTCATCCTGCATCCAAAAAAGCATCTGCAAAAATGGAAACCACTTCATCTGTGTCTTGCTTGGGTTTCTGAGCAGGAGTTGGGCCAAGGAGGGATTTTGGGATAGAACAAGGGGAGTTGAGTCATACCCAAACAATAGATTGCAAACACTTCTCACTCTAGAGCTGAGTGAAGGCTGGGAGATCTCTTCCCTGAAATCTTCTTCTCTGTTTAAGTTCCTCCCGAAGTAAAGATGCATTTTGAGGAGTGGGTGTCCTGTGTGCTGGTGGAGGGAAGGAGGGCTGGGCACCTCGGAAGGTGGCACTGGGACCCTCCTGCACCTCACACCCCTCCTTTTGCTGTTGCAGTGGTTTAGTCCCTCACATCCTGGGGGATGTCATCTTCCTCTGGTGCTGCAACCTCGTGGCTCACTTCATCAACACCTACGCAGTGGACGATAACGTGAGTGGAGGTGCCCGATGGAGGGTTTGGGGTCTGGACCAGGCACCTGCAGTTGGAAGGAGTTACTGGGAAGCAGGGGCTGATTTAATACAGATACCTGGCTTTGGGTACATCCCTGTGAGAGGGCTGAAGGCGCTGTGTCTGCTCAGGGCTGTGCCTCACCTGCAGTTTGGGGGATCAGATTTGACAGCAAATGCCTTCCCAGATTCTCAGCAGGGGTGCAGCATGGTCACTGTTGCTTTTTGCCTTGTTCCTCTGCCCCATGCCCTTCACCTCAGGCACAGGGGGGTGTCACACAGTGACTGTGACAGCCTGGTGTCATCCCCCTCCTCCACAATCCCTGTGGTTTCTCTTTGCAGTTCAGCCAGGCCTCAGTGATCCGGAGCTACACAAAGTTCGTGATGGGGGTACGTAGGCAACTGCCATGTCCTTTCCCCTCTTCCTGCCATCTGGGACCTGAGAGGTTGTGGTCTGAGGACAAAGGCTGGTCTGTACTTTACATCCAAATGAGGATAACATGCAAAAGCTGGAGATAGCTTTTTTGACATGGTGAGCATTAGAGAGGCTACTGTTTTCCTGTGCTTTCAGATCGCTGTGAGCATGCTGACGTACCCATTCCTTCTCGTGGGAGATCTCATGGCAGTGAACAACTGTGGGTATGTCCCTCACACTGAGATCTAAAGCTTTCCCTTCCTTTCTTGCAGCCCCTTGTTTGAACCCGCTGCTAACGACCGTAAAGCTTTCCTACAGAACCATAAACTCTGTGGCACCTCGCAGAGCTGGCTCGTTTCCTGTCCCAGGTTGCTTATAATTTTAGATCAGAGGGCACAGACACGAGCAGCAGAAAAGCTCAAGTGGAGAGAAATAGGGAGAGTCGTGGTGGTGTGGTCCAACCTGAGCTAGACTGGAGGCAGAGGGATCAAAGGGACCGTGCTGGCTCCAGGGAGGGGCACGAGGGAAGCAGAGCTCTTACTGCAGTGATGGGTGCAGACAGGAGCAGGACCAGGCTTGCCTTCCCGATCCCACTGCTGCAGGAAATCTGCATTTGTGCTCATGGGAAAGGGATCCAAGCAGCTGGTGGAGTGTTTTCTCAATATCTTCTGGCCCTTGAAGGTGTAGATACAGTCCTGGACACTTAACGTATCCAGGTAACGCTTCTTGTTTGTACACTCCAGGGGTAATTAAATTACATGATCTGCTGCATTGTAAATAACGAGCTGGTCATTTGGCCGCCAGCCCAGTGCAGACACTGTTTCTGTGTCCTCACTTACACTCAGTGCTGCTCTTGTGTTACCTGTCTGGATAACGTGACATCCCTCAGCTGTTCCTTGTTGCCACGCAGGTTGCGCGCCGGCCTCCCTCCCTACGCTCCCGCTTTCCCATCCTGGATCCACTGCTGGAGGTACCTCAGTGCTCAGGTGAGGGAGCGGGGCACACGCTGGGCTTTGGGCTCCCTCTGCTCCTTCCCAGGGTCTCCAGCATTCCCCAGAAGTGCTGCATCCTCACAGTGCTCTGTAACCTGCTTCTATCCCTCTGGTTTGGCACTGGTACCAGCTGTGGCAGTGCTGGTCTGCCTGTTACATGCCCTGAGCTTGCAGCCTGCAAACTTTCAGCCAGTGCATTGCAGCAAAGGGTCTCTGCCCCTCTCCATCCATCATCCCAGAGGGAAATGCCCGACTCCAGCACCCACAGGGCTGAAACACCACTTACTCCTCCACAGCAGCCCAGGGTGCCCAGACCTTTCAGCCCTGCCCTGGGCACGAGTCAGTCCCTGCTAAACCAGCTGCAGTTCCCTCGGCACGGCTGCCCTGACCCCGTGCTCACTCTCCCCCACAGGGGCAGCTGTTCCGTGGCTCCAGCCTGCTCTTCCGCAGGGCTCCCATCCCAGCTGCCTCCTTCCCCATCGACTGATCCTGGGCAGGGACAGCTGATGGACGTGGACTCCTCCAGAAACCCCAAGCTTGTTTTGATATGTGTCATATTTCTATTCTCCGATCCAAAGTCCACGGTGCCAGAACTGGCACCTCCTCTCCAGCAAGGCCAGCGACAGACTGGCTTCTGGACATCTGGCTTCAGGCTCCAGCTGGACCAAAGCTCCATCCTCATGGCTGTCTCGACTGGGATGTGTAGCAGGGAGAGCAGAAGGGCGTTGTCTTGTCTGTTTGGTCCAGGCTGTTGCTCTGGAGTCACTGGGAAAGTCCAGGAATCCAGAAAATGCCCAGGTACTAAAGGAGCTGCAGGGACAAAAGACTGCTTCGTGCTGCCCAAGCTGAGAAGCAGCAGGAGATCCAAGGTCACCTCGCTGCAAAGGTTATGCCAGGTGACCACCCTCCTGCCTCATCCTTCTGGAGAGGGCACACCTTGGTGTGGCAGGGAGCTCATCCTGGGCAAGATCAACCTGGGATCCATATTTAAGGTTCGAGGGTACCTGAACACCTGGGAGCAACCCCACCTCCTACAGGTGTGAGAGGGAAATTATAGGATCAAAACAGAGAAGGGAAACAATCCCACTACAAAGAACAGCAGAGTCCCAAAGAGACAGGTACAGCTCAGCTCAGGGCAGTGTTGGGACATGGGCATGGAGAGAGCACTTGGGGAGGGATATATGCTGCTGATGTCACGGCTTTGGGAAGGGTTTTTGTATTTAAGGTTCCCCCAACAGAGCTGCTGGTGTGGGGTGGGCAGGCAGGGAGGGGAGCTGGGTTGGACTGGCCTGACTGCTTTCATGGGCATCTCCCAGGCAGCAGCACCAGGAGCCCTGCTGGGCTCCCAAACCCCAGCATTCCCCCTTCACTGATGGACATGGAGGCACTGGATGCCACAAAGGGCTCAGGGCAGCAGGGGCACACGGTCCAGGGCTGCCTGGAATAAAGGAGTAAACCTGGAGCTGGCCAAAGGCTCATGAGGCATCAGGTTCAGGGCTCACAGGAGCACGGCTGGCTCTGTGTGTGTAGCAGAGCTCACGAGTGGCATCAGGGCAGGATTTGTGCTCAGACAAGAGTTTTTTTGCACCAGTCTGTGCTGTGATGGCAGCCAGGCAGATTTCCCCATTTTGGTTCCCCCACGAAGCAGTCTTTTGCACAGAGGTGATGCTGCACTCCCTGGGAAGAGGTTGTGGGGTCCATGAGCAGGTTCCTGTGTGCTGCAGCAGCACCAGCTGGGGTCACATCTCATCCTGGTCCTCTGGGGACCCCGGCCTGCCATCACACAGGGTTTTTCTCCATCAGACAGGGTCGATCCACACTTCCCAGGCAGGGTTTGCAGGACAGTGGTGGTACTTGCTGGGACTGGCAGTCCCCACCCAGCTCCCTTTGGTGTAGTGAAGTTGGTCCTGTCTGTCCTCCTTCCCTTCCTCCCTCCCCATTTGTGCTACAGTAACAGAAGTTAAATAATGCATGGACCTGTTCCCTAACACCAGAGATGATTTCAAAGAGGATTTAATTATGCTCCAAAATACAGCTATAAAACAACTCTTGGGTGTTCCTGGTTTGGTTTTTTTTTTAAGTGTGATTTTTTTTTTCCTGCATAACAGGCTCTTTCAGGGAAGGTTTCAGTTTAAGACAGGCACTTCCTTTGGTCACTTCCCCAAAGCAGAGCTAAACCAGCCGTTACAAACTCAGTTTCCCCCTGATTTTCCTCACTTCCATGGAAGATCAGGAAGTTTAGGCTGAGCAAACTGCATTGGGTGCATGTGGAATGAGGGTGGAGGCAGCAGAGAGCTTGGCTGCATGAAACAATATATGTGGGATTGGGGTTTTGGAGTTAAAATTGACCCTGAGGTCTTCTGGAAGGGGTGTTGGAGACCCTTTGCTGCTGTCAGACCTGTCAGGTGGGCTCAGCCACTCCATCTTCCCTCTCACAGCATCCTCACCCACTGGCCTTTGCCTGTTCCAACACTGGGCACTGCATCTCCCAGATCACACACCACCTGCTCCGGAATATGTACCTTTACCCTCCAAATTAAGGCCACTTTCTGCTGGTCACATGCCTGTGAAACCTCCTGCAGCCTGTGCACAACCTGGCTGCAGCCCCTGCAGTGAAAAGTGCTATTTCCTGTCCTTTGAGGAATTTACTTAAGGAATTTACCTAAGGAATTTTCCTAAACCTGCACCAGAGCAAGCTTCCTTCCAGCAATTTCTGCCCAGTTCTCCATGACCCACAAACTTTGCTGTAAACACAACACTTGAATATAGGTTTTGTTCACTCAATTTAAATGAAAACCAGGTTTCAAAGCCTTCAGTTCTCTGCCTTACCTTGAAGCAGGGGCTGCCGTTCTTAAGATGATTAAATATTTCCTCGCCTCTACCCATTTCTATCCCTGGTTCTTCTCGTCCCACACTCCATTTGAGGTGTCCCACCACAAGGACAGCGTCTGCACCAGGAGCAGGCAAGGACACAACCCAAACCCTGCCTGGGCATTCCTTAAATCGCTGCCCATTAGCAAGTGTTTGACCCTGCAGCTGGTGCTTAAGTAGCTCAGCCAATGGGGCCCCATCCCCACAGGAGAGGGGATCCAGGGTGAAACGTGGTCGGGAGAACAAATGAAGGGGGGGAAGGAGGAGGTTTGTGTCTGGCGCCCGGGATGGAGCCGGGGATTTCTCCCACCAACGCTCCTCTATCCACCCAGGAAACAAACTTGAGTTTAAATATTGACTCTTCTGCACAAAACTGGGATGGGTGGGGATCGCTGCCGTTCCGTGCCTATGCGGCTTATCAGCCTTCACTGGAAAACAGAGATTGCCGGGACTTTGGCCTCATCTGCTCCCGGCTGCCCGGGGGGAGAAGGGAGGCAGCGACCGCAGCCGGGAGAGGGAATCTCAGGTCAAGGCTGGTCTGTCTCTCCGCAGAGCTTGGATGCTTGGGTCTGGCAGGATTTAGGGAGCAGCGAGATGCTGGTGGAGCCTTTGTGCCCAGGGAAGTGCAGCTGACGACTGCACCGTCCTCTCCCTTCCCCTGCAGAACCGTCCTGCTAAAGACCTTTCAGTTCAGTCCAAACCCCTCCCGGCCACGCTGCTCTCCCGCTGCAGAGCCAGGGGGGAAACATCCCAGAAAACCTCTCCTTTGGGATTGTATGGTGTCCATCACCCTGGTGCCTGGTCAGCGGGAAGGCCAGGGGCTGCCAACCCCCCTGGCAGTGAGGGAGGGCCCCGTTCTGCAGCCGTGCACGAGGAAGTGCCCTGCGGCAGCGCTGCCCTCGATAAGGCTGTTTGCGCTGTTCTGCCGCAGCGCCGAGCTCCACGTAGGCAAATAATTCCTTAAAAAAAACACATATATATGTAAGATAATAACCCTCACGGAGGAGATCCTGCCACCAGGGTGGTGGGAACGGCTGGTGCCAGGAAATGCTCAGGGTGGGGACTTGGGCTGGACCCAGGCACCAGCAGCATGGTGGCCCTGTCCCTGTCCCCTTGTCTTCACCTGGCCCTGTCCTTGCTGTGAGCAGGGCAGCCTTGTCCTCTGGGATGGCCTTCATCCGAAGCACGGGGTTTTGGAGGAGCTGGGTCCTACTGTACTATTCCCCCCTAAACAAGGGAAATCCCAGCTGGAAACAAGGAGAAGAGGCCATGAAGGGCACGACAGGAAAGCTCAGCACGGTGCCCTGACCTGCCACGATGGCAGTGGCAGCTCCATCCATTGCTGGTGGCTGGTAAGAGGATGGGAAGAATGTGGGGAAGCTGCTCCAATGCTCTCCCTTACCTGCTTTGGGCCTTTTTGGGTGGGGAAACTCCCTCAAATCCCCCCAAGCTGAGCCGCCCTGTCCCCCCCTGGGATGGCAGTGCTCTCGTGGGGAGCCAGCGGCGTTTTATCCCACCCTGAGGAGACCCGGGCCTTTTGGGGAAGAGGTGGCAACATGGGACAGGCCGAGACTCCTTTCCCTGTGGCCACCGTGGCCCCCACGCACCTCCCTTGGTGCTTGAATGGTGCTGGGCCCTCCATCCCGGGGGAGAGGCAGGAGGGGGAAAAGGCCTCCTCAGCTTTAAACTCAGCTCCTCTCCCCCTGCTGTGACCCCACGGCCGGGCTGGCAGGGTGAGGGTCCCGCATCGCCACCGCCGCTGCCGTTGTTGGAGGCACCGGCCCTCGCTGGGAGCACGTGAATCCTCTAAACCCTCGGAATGGAGTTTCTCCCTTAAAAGCCGCCTGCGTTCTGCGGCCGGGCGGCTCTTGTCAAGCTGCCAGAGGAGGCCGGAGCAGCGTCACATGCCGCAAAGTTTTACAAGGCGAGAGCGAGCGTCTGGGGAGAGGGACGGGAGAGGGGACCGACGCACGCACGCACTCGGACGCGCACGCGGAGAAACCTCCTCCGGGCTCCCTCCGGCTCTCATCCCAACGTTTATTATTTTTTTTTTCCTTCCTTTTTTTTTTTTTTTTTTTTTTTTTGGAAGAACAAATTTTGGGGGGGTGGCGGGGGGGTTTTTTTCCGGGGGTTGGTGTGGGGGGGGGGGGGGGGGGGGGGAGAGGCTGGAGGTGGAAGGGGGGGAGCCGGTGGCTTGAATGCGAGAAAGTCCCAAATTTCCCTGGCCGAGTTGCCGAGATCGTCTGTGCGAAACTTAAAGGAGGAAAGACGTGGGGGGAGGAAGGGGGGGGGGGGAAATAATTAAAAAATAAAATATGATGACGTCACTCGGAGCAGGGGTGCCTTCCCTGCTGCCTGTCAGATGCGCCTGAAAAGAACAGGGCAATAAAACAACAGCCGCCTCTGTCTCCCTCGTTAAACACGGCACTAATTGGATGTTAATTTCTCCTTGCTCTTCTCGCTGCTCGATTGTGAGGGCTCTGCCTGGCTCTCCCTCTCTCGCTTCCTTTCTTTCCTGTTGCAATGCTCTTGGCAGCTCTGAGGGACTCTGGACTGTGCGCTCTCCTCCCGCTCGTGGACTGGAATAATTCAGGAGCTGGGAGAATTAAAAAAGACGAGGCGCAGGGGCGAACGGTTCAGAAACGGGGCGGGCGTGATGGATTTCGAGAGCTACTCTAATCTCCCCGTTTCCCGTGCATTGTCCTGCCGACTTGGAGCTATTCTCTTCCCATTTGATTTCTCTTCCCCCCCTTTCCTCTTGCGTTGGGTTTGGGCTGCCGGGCAAAAATATATGTTTCGGAAAAAAAAAAAAAAAAACCCAGAAAAAAAAGGCACCAAAAAAAAAAAGGAAAAAAAGGCAGGAAAAAATAGAAAAAAGGCTAAAAAAAAGGCAAAAAAGGCTAAAAAAAAGAAGAAAAAAGGGGGAAAAAAAGGGAAAGGAAAAAAAAGCCTGGTTCAATGACGACAAACCCCCAAACCTCCTCCCAGCTCCCCCCGTCTCACCGCGCTGCCTAAACCCTGCGTGGAAACAGGCGTTTTAGGGAGCCAGAGCAGGAAGTTGTTGTTCTCTGTCTTGCCCAGGTCATCCTTCCAGGGTACGTGTGCAAGGGCGGTGGGCGCGAGGGGCTCGGTGGGCACCCAGCAGCCGTCGGCCGCCCCCCCACGTTACCCCCGGCCGACGAGGCGGGTGCACAGCGGAGGGGGAGCGGGGGCCGCGTGGTGTTTTGGGGGACGCAAGAGGGGCCCAAGGGACAGGATGGGTGGGGGAGCGGAGGGGAGGGAGCGGGAGGCGGAGGTGGGGGGAGAGAGCGAGAGCCGGGGAGTAAAGTCCTACCTGGGATCGGTGCCAACTTCCTGCAAAGGGTTACAGACCCGCGGCTTTGAGAGCCCACCAGAGGCGAGTGCGCTCTTGTCACGGTTCCAAGGCGAGATGAAGGCAGCGGGAACAGGTACAGCAGATGCCGAGTGGCCTCGTTTGCCCGCCGAGCAGGGCTTCGGCTCGATTTAAACCTCGCCGACGAGGAGGCTTCAGTGCTCCCGCCGGCAGGGGCCTCGCCATCCCGGCACGAGGCCACCGGGGCCGTCGGGTGCCAAGGGTGGGGTGCGTGGGTCGGTGGAGGGGGGGGTGTGTGTGTGCATGGCAAGGGGGGGCCTCCGCTGCTCGTTCGCCTTCTTGCCGTTTGGATTAACATGCGGAAGATGCGCCTGTCACTTTGCTTACTGTCAGCGCCGGCTCGGGGATGGGTGACGGCTTTGTTCGGTGCAGCCGGGGGAGCTGTGCCAACTCGGACTTGGCAGGCGAAGCCGGGTGGGCAGGGAGAGGGGGACGAGGGAGCGGGAACGGCTGCTGGGGCGGCTGCGGAGGGACGTGGCCGCAGGCCCGCGTCTGAGCGCGGCGGGTTTCTGTTGGCGTGCGCCTCCCTCTCCCTCCCTCTCTCCCGCGCTCGCCTGCGCCCAGGCTGGTGCAGACAAAATGAAAACGTGTTTTGTTTTGGTTTTTTGGCATCTCCCCAGCAGCGCTACCAACCCCAGCTGCCCCCCCTCCGCTCCCTTCCCCAACCCAACGCGACTCCCTTTTACAATCGGCACAAACCAGGTGCTACAGCAGCAACAAAATAGGGCCAAAAATACCCCCTGGCACCCAAACCGCCCCCAATCCGCCACCCTTGGCAGCGACTGCTCCCAACCATCCTCCATGGTGGGTGGGTTGTTGTTTGTATGTGTATAAATTTTTTTTGTGCTCTTTTTTTTTCTCCCCCCATCGGGTCCCTCTCGCGTTGGGTGTGTGTGTTCCTATTCAAGGACCCGCCACCTCCTGTCGTGCTAAAACCAGGAAGGAGGGAGCCAAGGGCTCATTTCTGCCTGGACGCCGGGGCGGCGGGCGAGGGAGATGGCAATGGAGGACAAGAGGAGGGAGGAGAGGCATGGGCAGGCGGGAAAAGGAGCATGGGGAGGGCGGAAAAAAATAATCCACCTCCCTAGGCCTTTTGTTTAACCTGTGTAGAGGCAAAGAAAGGTCTTGGATTTTTTTTTTCCTCCCCATGTCCTTTTTTTTTGCCCTGTGCTTGAGCCTCATGGGGCGTTCTTGAGCCCAGTGGGGCAACTTTCCGGAGCGGGCGGTGTCGGAGGTTGATTTTTTGGGAGGTGGCGGGCTCGTCCCACGGGCGCGCGGCTCCGAGTGCAGGAATTCCTGCCAGCTTGCCTTTGTGCCAGCCTCCGTTGGCCTTGGGTGTCTCATTCGGATGGAGCCTGGCATCCAGGCACCGCCCATTTCTTGGCGTTGAGCTGCGAGGAGAAGGAAAGGGGAGAGAGCGAGCGAGAGAAGGGAAAAAAAAAGCTGTCTCACTCAAACTGGCCTTTCTCGGAAAAGGATCCTTCCCCGATGATTGTCCGGATAAGCGGAGCTAAATCCAGCCACTACTCCACAACAAAACCACTCTCTTCCACGGTGCGTCTCTCTTGCTGCCTTGGTACGAAATCGAACCTCACTCTTAATTTTGGGGTTTTTTTTTGGTTTTTTTTTTTTTGTTCGTTCGGTTGGGGTTTTTTTTTTGCTTTTGATTTGAAATAACGTTTTGTTCCTCCAGTTGCTCCGTTGCTTTGTTGTTGCTGTAACCTGCCTTCTCCCCGAAATCCCTTCCCGCCGAATCCTCCGGCCCTTGGTGCTAAAACACCCGACTTTAATCGGTCTCCTATAGAGGGATGTATAGCAGACAGGCAGGTCCCTACGTGCAGTGTTTGGAGCAGCACTGGAGGGTGATTTCTCTCCCCGCCCTCGCCCCACCACCCGGGACGTCCCCAAGAGCCACCCGGGGCTGGGTGCGTGTCACCCGGGCGCTTCTTAACTCCCCACCGAGCACCACCGAGGGGGGAAAAATATGTCGAATCATGTCGGATTTGCAATTCAACATGGCAGCCGCAGCAAACGTGGTGGGAGCTCCCAGCGCCGGGCACACGGCGGGCACGCTGCTCCCGGCCGGCCACGCCAGCACAGGCTGGGGGCACGGGGAGGGCGGCCGGAGGGAGAGGGAGGACGGGAGGACAGCAGCAAGGACAACCCGGGCGAGGTCAGGAGAGGAGGATAATTTTATATCGTTTTAGGGGGGGGCTGAATTACACCAGGAGCGATCCGGGAAGGAGGGAACTCAAGCAGTCTGGTTTTGTCAGCGTTAACTGTTTAGAAGCTGGCTGGTTTTCCACGCCTGGCACGGCGTGCCAGGGCTGGGGAGATGCCCGGGAGCGGGGCGGGAGCCGGCCGAGGGAGCGCTCCGGAGGCAGCTTTTCCTGGAGCGATGGCGGCCTTCGGGCCGAGCCAGGCGCTGCTGGGAGGAAGCTGCTTTTTGAAGGCACCGGGATGATTAACGGGGCCCTCCTCGGCCGCGCGGCACCTCCTGCCTCGTGGAGGTTCACGCCTCGCACCAGGGCGAGATTTGGCACCACCACACCGAAGCTCCTCAGGTCGGCCCGGCCCTGCCCGAGCCCAGGGGCTGCCCTGGCGCGGGTGAATCTGCCCTCTTTCTGTCAAACTTAATTTAGGCCTGTTTGGGACACAACAAAAGCAGCTTGTTTGCAGGGCAGGGTCCTCCTTCCCGGCCGCTGCACGCTCCACAGGCGCTCGGAGCCATGAAAGCCACCCCTCCTCCTTCACCAAATTTTTCCTCCTCGTCCCCCCTGCCCAGCCTCCCCACTCCTCCTCCTTTCTCTGGAAAAAGCCTTTTTCAGTGAGTGACATGTGGCCCTACAGTAAAATCTCTGAACTGGTCACAAAGCACCCAAATGCCCCGGCCCTACTTTGGCTCCGTGACCCACCAGCCTGCACTGGCTGTATCAGCCATGCTCCGGGAACATCCCCAAAATTGCCTCACCCAGCAGGATGGTGAGAGCCTCCCAGAGATGTTGTCCTGGCTGTTGCACATCTTCCTGACCTCAAAGGAGCTCTGTGACCTCGTGCACCTTGGTTTAGTGTCTGGGACGCCAGGGTCCAGCCCTGAACCCCCGTAGGTAGGTTTTCACAACCAACCTTCCTTCAGTTTGGAAGCTGAAATTCCCCTGTTGTAGGAGATGGGGGTAGTCAGGCATTTGTGGGGGTAGACCCCCAAAATGTGTTGGGATTCCCTCTTCAGCAGAGCTTGTGTACACACTAGGTTACATCCAGACCCTTAATTCCAGTGAGAAGGCAAGCACAAGTGTTTTACTCATCAGTCCAGCTTTTCCCTTGCAGATTATTTATACAAACAGGGGCTGGGGTGAAACCCGACCTTTCCTAATTTGCTCCCAATCCCTATTGCTTCCCTGGGAAAAGCTGGTGGAGGGCAGATATTAAAAAAAAACCCAAGCCACTGAAGCTCCTGTGAGCAGCCTGGGAGGAGAGAAAGTCTGAACTCAAGCAAGGCTCTTCTGACGTGTCCTAAGCAAAACATCTGGCACCCCTGGAAGCGCCGTCCAGCCAAGGGACACAGCTGTTTTATTCCACACAGCTCGCAGCAAAATAGGGCTTGTGCTTCCAGAACATGGCTCAGCAGAAAGGACGAATTCTCAAAATGGGGAGTTGGATCTTTCTGCTGTTTATTGCCTCTGAAAACCCAGTTTGCTTTTGGGCTGCTCTGCTCCATCTCCTGGCGGGAGACCAGGAGCTTTGCTCAAAGGCTAGAGCTTTGGTCGGCTGCTGTAACCCCCCAGCCAGCAGCAGAGCCACTCTGGACTTGCACAGACATTCCTGAGAGCAGGATCAGGCCCCCAGGTTTGTCGAGGGTGGCTCTGGGAAATTTCCTTTCCTTAAAAGGACCAAGTTTGGCCAAGGCAGAGTTTGGATTGTGATTTCCTCTTTTCTTTTTTTTTTTAAACCCACCCCCCCACACACTCTCTTCAACTCAGAGCAAAACTTAAATTGGTGAGAACTGCTTGATTTATAGCTGCAGAAAACGCTGAGCTCTGTGTTTCCACAGGCCAGACCCGAGGGGAAAAACTTCCCCTATGCTGGACCATCCATGTGAGCAGCTTCACCACTCCAGGGACCACTTCTGGTAGGCAGTGAGACTTAATTTGGGCTTTGTAGGCCCCATCCTCAGGCTTTCCACAAATTGTTCCAATGGATCTGGGGGGCAAAAGTTTTGCAAGATCCTTGTAGGAACCCATCCAAGGGAGAGCTGATGCTGGAAGCTTCATGCACCATGGAGAACACGGTGTCCAGACACATCCTGATCTGATCCACCCTCTACCACCCCACAGCTGGGCATCAGAAGAATGAACACCATTTATTTTCCTTCCTGCACCTCTCTCAGTCCCTAATTTCCCCCTGCTTTTTTTCTGTAGTACCAGTTTGTTGTGGTGGAATTGCTCGTAGCTACTGTTTAACTTCAATAATTGGCTGCTGCCAAAGGTGAGGCCTGGGAGGACAAAGCGAGGTGGCTGGTTTGTTTTTGTAGGGTTGCTCATGGGCACTGAGCTGTGCTGTCTGGCTCTGCAGTTGGAAAGCCCATGAGATACGCAGGGTTTGGCATGCTAAGGTCACTCACAGGATAGTCCTGGCCACAGGAAATGTAAGAGAAGTAGCCCAGTGAAGGACACAACCAACACGTGTGTGAAGCGAGGTCTGTGGAGTCTAAGAAGTGGTTGTTGTGATGAGGTGATGACAACCAAATATCACCCAGTTCTGGGGTTCTGGGAGGTCTGTGAGGTGGTGACTTTGTAAGCACCTCTGCTGCTCATTCCCACAGCAGTGCTGTTCTGTCCTGTGGCTGCTGCCAGCACCTCAGTGTCACTGCCCTGCTGGGCCTGGGAACAGAGGAGCAGCCTAAGGGAGATGGCCCTTCATCCCAGATCAGTCCAGGCTCATGCAGGACCAGGCAGGAGGTTTCCTCTCAGCTGCAAGACCATGACAAGCATTGTGCTGCTTCCTCCTTCTCCTTCCAGCTTGAGGGCTCTGCAGGGCAGCCACAGCCACCTTTGGCTCAGTCTTCGGGGTCTGGTTTGAACTCACGGGATGGTCTGTGCTGATGCTTCAGTGCCAGGCGTGGGGACCTGAAGCAGCTTTGCCTGGGCAGGGGAGTTCTGGGAGTAAACCCAAGAATTCAGGGAGTGGTTCTCCTGTCCTTCAGTCGTGGTTTGTTTGGCGCTGGGCATCAGCTCTGGTGAGGGGAATGGAGGCTGCAGGGGCAGCACATGGCATCCTGGCACATGGAACCTGAGTGGCTTGGGAGCAGGCAGCAGGATGGCAGCAGGATGGGAGCAGGATGGGAGCAGGCAGCAGGCTCATTTTCTTGTGCCTGAGCTCAGGTTGGGAGTGAAGGCACCCTGGGCATGCAAGAGAGAAGGTTCCAAAAGCCCAACTCAGAGCAACAGCTTGGGTTTTACTGTTTACTGAGCAGTTCTCATGTGAAGACTCCACCAAAAGTCAGGTCAGAGGCTGATACCAATGTAATCAACAGCTTCAGTTTCTGGGAGAAGGATCAGGATAAGAACCTGGGAGCTGAGCAGGCCCAAAGGCCTCTAGGATCATCCTTCCAGCCACTCTGCCTTGGAAGCACATTATTGCAGCTGAAGAGAGCTGGGATGGATGCAGAGGGACATGGATAAAGGGGCCTAGGAGGGCTTTGCTCCTTCTCCAAGCTGGCTGCACAAAATCCAAGCAGGTGATGAAACCCAACAACTCAGCAGCTCTCAGTCTCCCAGGAATAAGAATAGAGATGAGGTCACCAATAGCACTTTCGAGTCCAGTCTGGCCAGTTGTCCTACAGCCTGCTGGAGGTTGCCTCTGCTGTTTTCCATCCACGAAACTCCCTTCTCTCCCTGGCCCCATCAGCCATGTGCTGTTAACACACATCACACTCCACCCCAGGAGCGGCTGCACCTCAGCAGAGATGTGAGAACACACAATGATGTGTTGAACCCCAACACAGTCTCTGTTGTTCGACTTGCTCTTGTTAGTCCTGAAATCTTCCAGACTCTTCAGAGAGGCAGCAGCAAAAGAATAGTCTGGCAATGAGCTCCCAGAGTAGGGAAACCTGAGCTAGTGGAGCCTGTGCTGGATCTGACAGCCAGGATCGGCCCCTGACCTGAGGCTGGACCCAGCCATGCCTGAGCACTGTGGGAGTTCCCATCTGGATCTCAGTTTTGCAGTCCGGGCCCTGCCCTGCCCAGGGGATTAGCGAGATGCGGTTCCCCGGGCGGGGGAAGGGGCTAATGAACAGAGACAGGATAACGAAGCAGGTAAGGGCTTCCTGTACTTCGGGGCTCGGGAGGAAATCCTGCAGCTGGTGAATCTGGATACGATTAGTGTCCATTTCTCCCTGTGTAATCAACCCATCTGTTCATCCTTGCGCATCAGCCGCGCACGCCTCGTTGCAGGCAGATGCCTCCCGGGCACCGCTTTTATCCGTGTCTGCCATGGCCACTCCAGGCAGGCTGAGAACAAGGCTCGCTCTGAGCCGTGACGGCGTCTGCTCCCTGTCCCCGCTGGGATCGGCAGCGCAGGCCAGAGGGAGTCCCGGGAGAGCTGCTCCAACAAACCGGGATCGCTGCGAACAGCGGGACCGAGCCCAGGGAAAGCCTCTTCTCCGGGGGGAGGGCGGGCACCTCCTCCGAAGGGCTTTGAACAGGCGTTCGGAGGGATCGCTGTAACACAGAGATAAGCTCAGCTCTCCAGGCACTGCCCGCTCCTCCGAGCTCAGCTTTACCACGAGCTCCGAGCTCAGCTTTACCACGAGCAGGTAAAGGTGGATTATGTTCGGCTGCCCGGCTCCAAAGCCTCGTTCATCCCACGGGATCCTGAGGACGGGCTGTGCGGTCCCCACGTGGTCGTGGAAGGGACTGGGCTCTCAGCCCTGCTCTGTAAGAAACGCTGTTAAAGTTGGAAGGTGCTGGTGCAGGATCCTGAGGATTCATTTCACCTTCTTTTCCTTGACAATCTTGTCCAGCTATGCAAAAAACAGGTGGCAGCCCTGCATTGGCTTACAAATGTCAGGCCAATGTGTCAGCTTGGGCTGAAATGAAGTCAAAGGAGAAGCTGGTGTGTGGACCAATGTATTTTTTTGTAATGCAGTGGCTCAAGCTTGCATGGTCCTTTATGGCCTTCTGAAAGGTCAAGCTTGGTGACAGAGCTGGGACAAAAATCTACAGGTTTTTCCTGTAGATTCCAGTCCCAGTATCCTGTGGGACCTGCACTTATATGGGCTTTTGCTTGTGGTCACTGGAGTGTCCTGGGGGATCCATCACACCACATAAAGATGGTCCCTACCCCGGGCAGTTTCTGTGCTCAGCCCAGTTCTCTCCCTGTGTGGTGTTCAGGGACCTGATCCTGCCATTTGCTGAGTGCCAAAGTGTCATTACAGCCAGGAACAATTTGAGGAATGCAGCACAGGTTAAACATTTAATTTGCTTTCAAGGCCTACTTGTTGCTTCATTCCTAAATGCAACCTGTCCTCAGCCCCTATTATTTTGCTCTGGTCTGCTCTTTGGGTCCTAAATCTTCTGATTTTTGTTTGGTTTGGAATGCACTGATTTACCACTAAGGAATAAATGAAAAGCAAAAGAAAACAGCGGCAGTTGTTTGCACAGGCCCTATATTGTTCTGTGCTCTGCTGCTACTGAAATAGGAGTGATAAATCCTACTCCCTGGACAGAGGGAGGTTTTTGGGTGGTGGCTGTGTGCAAACAAGGCCAGGGAAGATAAACAAGAAGAAAAAAACCTGGGTTTAGGAAATGACAGTTGAGGATGGTCAATCAACAGATGCTTCAAAGCCAACAAAACACCATCAATTAGCAAAGCCATATTAATATTATTTCTCCAAGGCATTTTTGCATTCACAAAGAGGGCCAAGGGCTGGATCTGTGTAATGGTGTCTGTGGTCAAACTTGGCTGCAATTAGGAATCTGTGCCATTCCTATGTTATAGGGGAGAGTTTTATAAAGAACTTTGCATGTAGAAAATCTGTCCACAGTTCCAGAAAGGCTCAGCCAAAAGGGTGATGAAAATCTGTCTGTTGGTGTCCTTGTCAGAACTGCTGGAGGTGGGAACATTTGCTAATCTTGCTTATTTTAAGGGCCCTGCTTTCAGCAGCAGTTCAGTTCTGAAAATGCAGCTCTGAAAACTCAGCCCTTGAGAGTCTCATACAATACACGCCTCAGACTAGACTAAAGAGGGATGAATTTTTCAGACTGTAGGTTCTTGCCTGCCTAATTATGATTTTCAGCTTCTTAAGATTAGGTCTTTGCATTGTATAAATGTGACACAGAAGAAATAGCTGTGACATTGCCTTTGCTGTTCCAGCTGGGGAGGAACTGAGCTAAACCTGCAGAGTTTCAGAGCTTGCAGAGCTGATGTGGAAGGGGAATTTAGTTTCACGTTGGGAAATCAAACTCAGTTCCCTGAGCAATCTGAACTGTCACGATTTCTTTTCTGTCCAGGTCACCCAGGATGGCCTGGGAACAGTGTCACTCTTGAGGGGTACCTTTGGCACCCTGATGCAGTGCAAGGTCAAGAAAGGTTTCTGTATCAAGGCAGTCTCCATCAGCTCCAGTGGTTACATCTCTGTTGGAACCTTTCAGTAGGTTTAGACCTTCTCGATGGGTTTTGACTTCCCTGTTCAGCTGCCTCCATAGACACATAAGATGCTTGAAGCTGCATAAAATGGCTTGTGAGTGAACTCAGGACTGGCCAGTGTCTAAAATGGTTTGGCTTGCAGGATTCAGGCAGCTCCAAATCCAGTCTGGGATGGGTCCCAGTGATGTGGAAAGTGAAGCCACCTCTCACTTTAGCAGGCAGAGTGCTCTCTGCCATCTCTGCCACCATCCATCTTCTGGAAGAGGGAGGAGAAACTGCCTTGTGTGCAAGCATCCTTTAGAGCAGGGTGGGATGTGGGTCACAAACAGACTGCTGGGCATGGAGCAAAAAGACCAGCAAAGTTGTCAAAAAACCCAGTTTGGATTTCTGTGTTTCCTTGGTCTGGAGCCCCAGAGCTGTGTCTGTGAGAAGGCAGCTCCACCTTCATCCTTGGTGGGAGAAGCAGGCAGGAAAGAGCTTGGATGGACTCTGCCCGTTTTTACCTCAGAAATGCTGTGGCAATAGTATGAATAATGCATGTAAGTTCAATTCTTTTCTCTCTGGCTGAGGGCAAGGTGTCCCAGCTGATAAGAACTGGGAGCCCAATCTTGTTAAAGCCAGTATTAGACTTAGACCTTCATGAGATCTACTGCCTCAAGCAATTCCATTGTTCAAAGCACATTCGGTTAATTAGTACATTAACTAATTAACCTTCTCAGCATCCCAGGTAGGGAATATCTGTCTCCCAAAGGAGGAAACAGAAGCAAAGTGACTCACTAGGACTGGATACAGGAGCTCAGCGATGCAGCTGTCAAGTCTGGGTTTTTTCCCTTCCCAAATGATTTTGTTGCTGCTGAGGGTGCCTTGTGCACACAGTTCCCTCAAGACAGAAATGAAGGAGTCCAAAAAACTCCCAAGAGAGTGCTCAGGCCCAGCGAGGAAAAGTACCACTGGCAAACCATCCAAATACCCAGAGAAGGCAATTTGCTTCACCCACACGCCCCAACTAAGGAATAAAAAGCCAGTACCACTTCTCATTCACCAGGAAAGTTTTTCTCACCACCAAATGGCTAAACCCCGTTACCTTCTCACTCACATTTTCGTCCACGCTAAACTTCATGACCCAGAAGCAAAATGGCCAATGTGGGGAGGAGAGAGCATGTGAGAGATGACAGTGGGGCTGTGTTTGTAGAGGCTCGCTGGGATGTGATCAGACCAGAAGGGAAAGACCCAAAGAGACTCCAGCCAACAGCCAGAGGGGAAACTTTGACGCTGAGGAAGTCCTCCGACTCAAACACATGATGGTGAGCAGCTGATTTCCACAGCCTTGCAGCGTGGTAGGAAAAAACCCAGGGCTAAAGCACAAGGGTAGAGTTCTCTGGCTTGCAAACCCATGACAGTGTCACAGACCCTTTCTCACGAGTCCTGGTCACAAACAGAAAAGGGAGGCTTGTTCTCCCCACCCAGCTCTGACCTGAAGGCAGAGAGAGTTCTGTGCTCTGCCTACTATCAAATGACAGTCCTTGGCAGCAAGGATGTGTGTGTAGAACAAGAACCAACTCCTGCATGCAATGATATGTCCCAGAAGAAGAGAGTCTCCCAGGGCTTAATTATGGGGCCATGTGCTTACCAGTCCTTTGCTCCTGGCTTCCAACCAGCCCAGGCAGTCACAGCCCTGCCCACTGGAAGCTCAAACAGGAATGTCAAGGGTGTGCCTTGAATGGGAGCACAGCAACAGCACCTGAGAGCAGAAAGCACCAAAGCAAGAGGCCTGTCCTGTAGAAGGGACTCCTTTCATGACCATGTCTTAATCTACCACCAGTTTACTAAACCCACAGCAGCCCAGATTGGAGGCTGCAAAAATATCTCCCTTGCAAAATCCTCCCTTGCCCTTCGTGAAGCTCCAGCATTTTAATCATATTCACACCTCCCTCTCCTGACACAAACTGTCTCAGCTCCCTCAGTAACCCAGGTCCACAAAACCTGTGCATTCCTGATCTCATTCCCTCACTTACACAGTCAACAGTCTCCCCTCCATAAGCCTCCCAAACACCCCCCTTTGTTTATTCTCTGTATTCCCATTTTTCACCCTGTGCACTCCCCCATTTATATTGAATAAGCAACTAGTGCAGAGGGGTTATAGACAATTTTCGGTGTGCTATTGATATCTTCAGCAATCCCAGCCTTATGCATGTCCCTAATTCCATACTGCTTCATCTCAGGACCACCAGGAAGGTGCTGCCTAGTTGATCCAGGGACCCTGTTATTGGGACTTTCTTGTGAATGTATCTTGTTCTGTTGTGTTCATATTTACTTAGAATAAGGGTCAAAATAAGAGTTCCTCAGTTTGTCAGGGGGTTTCTAGAAGAGAATATTGGTGCCAGAGCAGCTGAAATTGGTTTTCATTCTTAGCTTCAACCTGACATGCTGCATGTGGCCATTCTTATCTATTGTTATAATTATCCAGAGCCCTTTGGTCTTCATCCTGCGACTTGTCTTGCTGCTTCTCCTGGAAAAGTGTTGCACGAGAAATGCACTGTTCTTTCTGTGCAAAGGCATTTTCAAGCAAGCCTTGCCTTCCCAAATCCTAGTAAAATTAACCAGACTTGAATCTCTTAAATGCCTTCAAAGTTCCCAGACTTCAAGGTTAATCTGAAGGGCATAAACCTACCTCTGAGGTCACATGGCTCGAGACCAAGTCCATATGATGTCAGGATATCCTGGGCAGGCTCTCAATAAAGT